AAGTGCAACAATGTGTTTTATAAAGTGCATCATGCTGATATATAAAGTGTACTAACTATACGATCACGTATAAATTATATATTCTTTTAAAACTAAATTTATTAGATAAAATTGTACATTGAATTAATATAAATAATTGAAATAATTTACTATTTATTATTATTTTTATTAATTAAATATTTTTTATATATTTTTATATTATTTTTCCTTACAAAACTACCATACATATATGCAGAAAAAAAAAATATAAAGATAATATTTTTATATACTTTGTATAAGTTACATATTTAACCCATGGGTTAAATTGATATATAACATAAAATCTTCTAATTACAATCAAGTCCCTATAAACTATCAAATTTTCAAAATTTTGCCAACAACCAACATCAATATTCCGGCGAGTTCTGGCCGCCGTCTACGCCGTCGCGAGCCGACCGTCCAAGAACGCCGTTGTGAGCCAACCCCCCGAGGGGACCTATTGCTGCAGATTATCGCCGGAGGAGACGACCTCCCGGAGCCGGAGTTGAGCTGCGGGTCGGAGGATGCTGAGAAACGGCGGCGCTGGCGTTGGGGATTCTCGGTCGTCTGAAATTGGCAGCAAACGAAGCCGGCAAGATGCGGTCGCTGGCTATGGGAGGCAGGAGGGACGGGAATATGACGACGAATCTGCGGCGTCCGACGTCTCTGTAGCGTCGATCTCCGGTGACTGAGGCGGCGAAGGTTAGAAACTGTTTCGACGGAGGAAACGATGGGAAATTTGCAGATGAGTTTCAGCGGCGGCAGACGCGTGACAGAGACGGAACCGGAATGGCGACGGCAGCGGCAGCTGGATGGTTGAATGTTGTTTGCCGATGAATGTGTGTGTTTCGCCGGCGAATCTGTGTTATGTGTGTGTGTTTGTGGCATGCGTGTGTCTGTATCGTGTGTAATTGGTGTGTGTTTGAGAGGAGAGAGAAAGTGTGAGAGAGAGAGATAGGGTAGGTGGGTGACAGATATGTACTGGGAATGTCAACAGGTTTAATATTGTGGTGGGGCCCATCAATATGGTGAATAATTGGTGTGTGATTAAATGTCCATAATACCCTTAATGAAGGTAATAATGTTGACTTTTTTTAAACCACTAGATCATTCGATCTCATGGCCACGATTCATTCTTATTTTCTTTCACTAAGCAACATTCTCATGTGAGCACGACTATATATATATATATATATATATATATATACCAAGATTTGTATTTATTTTAAATAGAAACTAAAATTCTGGCTAAAAATTTTAAAATTAATTTTTAAACTTTTTTCATAAAACCAGCCTCTACAAAATAATTAATCGATTATGGTATAAAGTTGACAAAACAAATAAATCCGGTATTGGTATAAAGTGGGTGATTTTATTTTAGGTGTCTGATTTTCAATCTTTTTTTAGAAAATGTGTTGTTATTAATAAATGTCCGATTTTATGGAATAAATTGGGCAATTTTATTATGGTATGAGACGTCCGATTTGAACGTTATGAATTTTATTTTGTTATGTATATAAGTGTATTTGAAATTATTGAAAACAAAATAAGTGGTTTGAATTTTATTTCGTATGAGTATGAAAGTCAAATTTTAGGTTGAGTTGTTATAAAATCAGGGTGATAGGATTCTTTAATTTTAGCATATTCTCATAATAATATGTCAAAAGATATTAATAGTAATTTTACAAATTGGTATGTATTCCTCTTGAAAAATAAAAAAGATCTAGAGAATTTGTTAGTAACAAGACTCGTCAAGCAGGATCGGATGGTCGATCGAATTTGAACGGTAAGTTAACCGACAACAAATCAAAAAACTTGCGAGGTAATATATATATATATATATATATATATATAAGAAAATTTATATATATGAAATATATGTATGAAATATATAAGAAAATTTATTGTGTAGTCCAAATTTAAAAGTAAAATAAGTAAATATTCATAACTTACATGTTTATATTAACTTGGAATAGTCAATTATTTATAATTTATTAAATTAAGCAACTACTTAATTTTTTTATTTGGAAAGTTTGTACAAAAATAAATTTATTTTATTTAATGAGATAATATAAGTTTTATAATTATATTTATTATTCACATAGATTTTTAATTATATTATAAAATTTTACTAAACTATTTATTTTATGGAATCATATTGTAGTCATATCGAAATTCAGAATAAATTTTTAAAATGACGCTTATTTTGAAATGAATATAATGTAATTTATTATCAGTTATGTGCACCGTACGGGTTGTGTACTAATTTTAAATAGACATGTTTTATGTAGTTTTGGACAATTTAAATTTTATAAAATATCTTTAATAAATTAATATAGATAAATTGTATTACATATTGATTGCATATTTCTAATTTACAAATATTATTTAATGAGAATTTTTAATTTATAAATATTAATGAATATCGCTTACCTGTAAGTAAATTGTATGACATATTAACTCAGTATTTTTGATTTATTAATATTATTTAATGAGCGTTTTAAGTCATAAATATTAATGAATATCTCCTACCCGTGTATCGCATGGGATTCGTAATAGTTATTTTATCGAATACATTGTAGTTAAATCGAATATCTGAATAAATTTTTTAAAATGACATTTATTTTGAAACGAATATAACGTAATTTATTATCACTTGCGTGTACAGTACAAGTTGTGTACTAATTTTAAATTGACATATTTTATGTAATTTTGTACACTTTGAATTTCATAAAACATATTTGATAAATTAATATAGATAAACTTTATTGCATACTAATTATGTATTTTAAATTTATAAATATTATTTAATAAGTAATTTAAATTTAGAAAAAGTCTACAATCCCGTCATGAAATGATTCCGTGAGAATTTTTAGCCATTAGATAAACATATAAATTCCATGTATCTACAATAATAAATACTTTTTATCTGAGCAGATTCTTAAAAAAAGGAATAGAAAACCAAAAATCTGTATTCTGCGCAAAAACACACTAAAAAAGAAAGCTGAAAGGGATGGAGTCTATTTAATTATTAATATATTATTATAAGGAGTTACGTTTTTTTTTATATACTAGTACAGAGCCCGTGCGATGCACGGGTGCACAATTTTAAGGCTATTTATCCAGACTTATAATTATATACATGAATAAAGAAAAATGTACGAAATATATATAGTACGTGACCCGCGAGATATATTTATTTGGAGAATATTATATTATAAGATGCAATATTCAATAAAAGTTTATAATATGCAAGAAATTGTACGATGTTCAATAAAAATTTTATAATATTCAAGTGGAGTCTTAAAGTCTCTTGTACATTAAGACTACTGACAAAATAATATTTTAATCAATGAGTTTCATTTCCTTGTAGCCAAATTGTGAATGTGATTTGAGGAGTACAACAAATCGATATATAGCTGACTTGTTTTTTTCATTGTAGTTTTTTTTTTCTTTTTTTTTATAATGAATTTAAAGATATTCTAAAATATAGCAAAAATTAATTTTTTTATTACAATTAGGAATTTTACTAAATATAAACTCTCAATCTATGGTGTTAATCAACGTTTAAGTCTAAAAAATTAAGAATTTTTACCTCTTTTAATCAATGTTTAAGTCTAAAAAACAATAGAGTTATTATAAGTTTTTTTTCTACATCTTTTAAAACATTAAATATGAGCATGTTAGGGCTAGCTTGTAAAATAATTAATATATTATCTCACTAAAACATTTATACTAATAAAAATTTAATTTTAGCATATAAATTTATCCCTTGATATAAGAGAAAGTAACAGTTTTACTTATTGTTGTTCACCATATAATATTTAATTATTATTTTATTATATAATAAAAAAGGAATATTGTTAAATAGTGTAGTAGAATTGTTATAAAATTATATGAATTTTTTTTTACAATATGGATTTAATATTTTTTATGATTTGATAATATAAACAAATCTATACTTAACTTTGACAAATAAAACAAATAAATACTTTAGTAAGTATTTAATGTATATACTAAATAGGAATATATTTGGTATAATCAAATACCAAATATAATCAAATAAGTCAAAGTGTACATTTTATTTGGTATTTAATTTTTTTATTATACTTACCTTTTTAAAATAAAACAAATAAATAAATCAATTAAATAAATAAAATATTATAATACTAAAATAGTAATGACATTTAATGCAGTTGACTTTTCTGGATAATAAATGTAGTAAATAGAATATCCTTTTATATAATACTAGTATAGAGCCTGCGATGCACGGGGTGCACAATTTTAAGGCTATTTATTCAGACTTATAATTATATACATGAATAAAGAAAAATGTACGAATATATATAGTATGTGACCCGCGAGATATATTTATTTGGAGAATATTATATTATAAGATGCAATATTCAATAAAAGTTTATAATACGCAAGAAATTGTACGATGTTCAATAAAAATTTTATAATATTCAAGTGGAGTCTTAAAGTCTCTTGTACATTAGGACTACTGACAAAATAATATTTTAATCCATGAGTTTCATTTCTTTGTAGCCAAATTGTGAATGTGATTTGAGGAGTACAACAAATCGATATATATAGCTGACTTGTTTTTTTCATTGTAGTTCTTTTTTCTTTTTTTTTTTATAATGAATTTAAAGATATTCTAAAATATAGAAAAAGTCTACAATTCCGTCATGAAATGATTCCGTGAGAATTTTTAGCCATTAGATAAACATATAAATTCCATGTATCTACAATAATGAATACTTTTTATCTGAGCAGATTCTTAAAAAAAGGAATAAAAAACCAAAAATCTGTATTCTGCGCAAAAACACACTAAAAAAGAAAGCTAAAAGGGATGGAGTCTATTTAATTATTAATATATTATTATAAAGAGTTACGTTTTTTTTTTTATATATATATTAAATAACCTGCACTAGGGCTCATTCATTCAGCCGACCACAAAATTGTTCTCACGTCACATTATGCCTATGAAAAAGAAGAAGCAGGCGGCAGAAACAGCGGATACTGTGTCTACAGTCATGGACGACAGAATATCGCAACTGCCAATACCTATACTTCACCACATACTCTGTTCCCTCTCCCAAATACAAGCTGTGAGAACTTGTGTACTCTCCAAACAATGGCGCTACATAGGATTAACCCGCCCCAACCTCGAGTTTTATCAAGGTTGGTTCAATTATTACAAAACGCAACGAAACCTTGTCTCCGAGTCTTCCGAAAAATTGTTCAACACTACACAACAAAACTTTGTCTCGGTATTAAACCGAATCCTACAAGGATACATTGATCAAAACCTCCCCATACACAAACTCCGTCTCCACATATGGAACCCCGGCGCACAACTGCTCATCTCCTTTCTCGACCAATGGATTGCAGATTGCAACATAAAAGTGTTCAAACTAAGCCTTTCTTTTACTTACGACCAGCCCTGGGCATTCTTCTTTTCGGAGTCCCTCGAAGAACTACACCTGCGCGAATGCAAGCTGAGCCCAGTCGAGAGTGTTCGGTTCAAAAGTCTGCGCACGCTCACCCTCGAACGGGTCCAAGTTGATTGTGGGACTTTCGAGACAAAAACCTTGGGATGCCCTTTGCTCACGCGTCTGGTCCTTAATAATTGTCTGGAGTTGAGAAACGTTAGGTTGAGCGAGGCGCCTGGGCTCAAGCACTTTGAATTGTTTGATTACGAGAGGAGGGAAGGGGGTAGCATCGAAATCGATGTCCCGAATCTCGAGACGGTCCGCATCAGGGGCCCATGGATTTGGTCTGACCTTGAAAGCACATTCATGTTCTCTCGTCTCACGAGTTTGCATCTTTGTAATGTGATCCTGTCGAGCGAGTCCATCGACCTGTTACCGTTCGGCTGTCCGACTCTTGAGAGCTTGGCCCTAGATAATTGCTCCGGTTTCGAGGAATTCCATTTTGCAAGTGATTCGGTCAAGCGGTTGACCATCTCGACAACCGAAATATTGCTTAAAGGAGTTACGATTTGTGCCCCCAACATTCTCAATTTTATGATCATTGCCCCCCAGGTGCTGGACACATTCTCTATCACGGCCACTACTTCCAAGGAGTGGGATTCAAATGTAATCCTCAATTTGTGTGATGATGATGATCCCGATAATTCGTGGTTCCTTAACCTGAGACGAATGCTCAAGCCACTAAGTGGGTCTCGGATTGATCTGATTCTGCAGATGTACCGACAGGACGTGCAATGTGGTGCCGTTGATGGCAGTCGTGTTCTCAGTGACGAGCCGCCTTTGGTGGTGGAGAACTTGGAATTTAGAAATTGTAAATGTCACACAGAATCTTGGTACTCGGACTTTACAAATGATTTGTTTCGTGTTTGTCGACCGAGGCACGTATGGGGTCATAGGCTCCTTTGCTTGTCGGAGGAGGCAAGGCACCAGAGCCTCTCAAAGTTTCAGTTCAACATGTTGCTTGCAAACATGAGCCTCGGGACCTTTTGGCGGCACGATGTGGAGCAAGTGCACGTGAAAATCGTCAATGGGAAAAAATGGCAGCTCGTGCAGTGGACGGACCTTTCAGAATTGCAAAACAGGGAGTGTCACGGGGTACCATGCGTTAAGTTGAAATGGAGTCAGGTCAGGTTCGAAGCCTACGCCTATTTGGTATGCTGTGATAGTGTTATGAAGTCAGGTCAGGTTCGGTCAAGTGTTTGATATCAAAATAGGTTGCCAAAAAGAAAAAAAAAATAATAATAATCAATGTAATAATAAAAACAAAAATGCTGCAACGTTTTTTTTTGGCTCGAAATTAGATTTGAAAAATACCAATCTTCTCTTTTTTCGGAAAATATGTCCCAATAGTTATAGTCGTCCACAACATGGGCGCCTTAATGAAATGCCAACTCAAATTTCTGTCGTCATTAACTGAGCCATATTACGTCGCTGTCGCTTAAACTGAGCCATGTTAAGTTTGCGTTGAAAGCTGGTATTCCCCAACCGGATGTATTCTCTTTTGTGACGACTTACTTCCAACATCATGTTGGTACTGGGGTTTTACGAATGGCCCATCCTCTCGTGGTTTCAGCTCAACATCCTGCTTGTAAACAAGAACCTTGTGACCGAACCCTGCTTTTGGCAGCACGATTTGGAGCAAGTGTTTGTGGAAACGATGGCAGATCATGCAGTGCACGAAGCTGGGGGAGTTGCAAAACCGGTCGCAACTCGCAAGACGGGAAAATTCGACTTAGATTGAAATGGAGATGCCAAATGTATAAAGACGCACGTTGCTCGGTTGCTTTCTATTGAAATTCAAATATCCTGTCTTACTTCCCTCTCTTTCCTTCATTAATCAAGGTTTTGGTCTTGATATCATTGTTTTGAAATTTTCCAGGTCTTGAACTGGTAATTTGAGGCTTCTTTTTTTTTTTTGTAATTTTGATTTTTTCCTAATGAATAGAGAGAATATAAAAACACATTTCTGGATGTATTTTATTTTATTAAATATAACAGACAAAATATATTTCTACTTTTATGTTGTTTTATGTTATAAAATTAATAGTGCAATGAAGACACAACTCGGCGAGATATGCCTATAATTAAGAAGAAATAAACAATAACAGACAAATAAAGTATAACAATTTTTGAAGAGAGAATATTTATTGAAAAATGATTGAGATATGGAGAAGCAATTATTGAAGAATATTAGGAACAATTTGACTGCAACTTCGTGATCGCATTGGGTCCAGCAAATCAACTTTGTGAACAGAGGTATTATCTTAGAGAGGCAAAATTGCATTTTTGATCCGCTTTGGCCTCGTTGCAATTTTCGTCCTGGGATCGGGTCCTAATATTCTTCAATAATTGCTTCTCCATACCTCAATCATTTTTCAATAAATATTCTCTCTTCAATTTGACTGCAACTTCGTGACCGCATTGGGTCCAGCGAATCAACTTTGTGAATAGAGGTATTATCCTAGAGAGAAAATTGTATTTTTGGTCCTGTTGCTTTGGCCTCGTGGCAATTTTCGTCCTGGGATCGGGGCATTTTCCTATTTAGTCCTGTAATATCAAAAGTCAACGCAATTCCAGTCCTTTCGGCGCCCAAAAGTCAAACTTGTTGCCGGATTTGTGACGTGGCCCACTCGTGATGCCCGCATGCCCAATTTCCTCTGACTTGGCATGTCAAAACGCGCACGTGGCAAAGAAATCAATTAAAAAAATGCAAAAAAAAAACATAAAAAAAATATAAAATCCACTTTGCAATTTAAAAAAAAATATAAAACCCACACAGATCAAGAAATGCATTTCATATACTTTATAATTCCTTAAATAATTCATGCTAAATAAATGTCTATAATAAAATCAATATGGTAAACTTGATCAAGAAATGCATTTCATATNCATCGATTTTTTCCCACTACAACGACCTCGCCTCCCTCCTCCTCAACACTAACGACGACGCCATCCTCACCCTCCTCAGCTCCAACAACTGAAACGAGTTCCAAATCTACGGCATCGTCACCTACGGCATCGCCATCCCGTCCGACCTCTTTATCCCCGTCATCTTGGTCGGTGCCTCCTACTGCCGCCTTGCCAGCCACCTCGTGGGCCCCGTCTCCAGCCTCGATAAATTTATGTGCGAATTTCACAAATTGGGGGGTTAGGGTTCTTGGTTTGGGTTTGGGAATTTAGGGTTTTAGGATCGATAAATTGGGGCTAAGTAGACGATTTTTTGTTTTTTGTTTTTTTGCATTTTTTAATTGATTTCTTTGCCACGTGCACGTTTTGGCATGCCAAGTCAAAGGAAATCGGGCATGAGGGCATCACGTGTGGACCACGTCACAAATCCGACAACACAAATCCGACAACAAGTTTGACTTTTAGGCGCCAGAAGAACTGAAATTGAGTTGACTTTTGAAATTATATTTATCTATTTAAATTTATCTGTTTAAATTTCATTTATATCATTTATTTAGATTATATGCCATATATTTAAAATTTGTTAACAATAAGAAAATTGCAATTACAAATTTGAGAGAGTAGACATATTTGTGCAATAAAAATCTGGGGGGCGTAAAAAATCTGAGGATGAATAGACATTGTGTAACAAATTTTTGAGTAGATAACAAACTATCAGTTATTTTCGGCATTCAAATCATTAATCTTGTAACTAATTTTTTAACAAACTGTTGGATGTTGTTTTCATATGTTGATAACAGATTCATGGGAGATTCATAGTCATCTTATAAGAAGACTGGTCGAAGAAGGTTTTTACTAGAAGACTCTGTAACTTAGGTTTTAACAAACTCTTGAAGAAGAAAAAAACAAAAAACAAAAAAACAGAAAGAGAGGAGAATACGCCATAGCAATGGACGATAGAATATCTCAACTACCAATACCCATACGTCACCACATTCTCTGTTTCCTCTCTCAGAAAGAAGCTGTGGAAACTAGTCTACTCTCCAAACAATGGCGCCACATAGGATCAACCCGACCCAACCTCGAATTTTCCGAAGAATGGTTCGACGACACACAAGAAAAGTTTGTCTCCGTCAACAGCTCCATAGGATCTACACAAACACGCCCCAACCTCAACTCTTCTGAAAAATTGATCAACAGTACACAAGAACAAGAACAGTTTGTCCCCGGCATCGACCGAACTCTACAACGTCGCCGTGATAAAAAATGCTCCAAACTGCACCGCATTCTATATCTCCTCAGCAGACCATGGCGCCCCAAAGGATCAACTCGCCCTAACCTCGACTCTTCCCAAAAATTGTTCAACACTACACAACAAAACTTTGTCTCCGTCAACTCCTCCATAGGATCAACTCGCCCCAACCTCGACTCTTCCGAAAATTTGTGCAACTGTACACAACAAAACTTTGTCTCGGTAGTCAATCGAACCCTACAAGGATACCTTGATCAAAACCTCTCGATACACAAACTCCATCTCGACATATCGAGGCCCGACTCACGACCGGTCATCTCCCTTCTCGACAAATGGATCCCCATAATAGCCTCCCTCAACATAAAAGCATTCAAACTCAATTTTCTTTCATATACGCAGCCGTATTATGACCTGCCCTCGGCAGTGTTCTTAGCCGAGTGCCTCGAAGAACTACACCTGAGCAAATGCAGGCTGAGGCCGGTCGAGAGCGTGCGGTTTACAAGTTTGCGCACGCTCACCCTCCAACAGGTCCAAGTTGATGGCGGCACTTTCGATACGAATATGTTGGGCTGCCCTTTGCTCAGGCGCCTGGTCCTTAATAGTTGTTTGGAGTTGAGAAACATTAGGGTGAGCGACGCGGCATCGCCTGGGCTCAAGCACTTTGCATTGTGTGATTATGAGAGGATCGAAGGGCGTAGCATTGAAATTGATGTCCCGAATCTCGAGACGGTCACCATCCAGGGCCCATGGATTTGGTCTCACCGCCAAAGCGCATTCTTGTTCTCTCGTCTCACGATTTTGCATCTTTATAGTGTGATCCTGTCGAGTGAGTCGTTCGACCTCTTATCGTTCGGCTGCCCGACTCTTGAGAGCTTGACCCTAGATAATTGCTCTGGTTTCGAGGAATTCCATCTTGCAAGTGATTCGGTCAAGTTCTTGTTCATCTCGACAAGAAATATACCACTTAAGGGAGTTACGATTTGTGCCCCAAACATTTTCTATTTTGCGTTCGATGCCCGTATTCCCCAGGTGCCGGACACATTCTCTTTCACGACCACTACTTCCAAGGAGTGGTACTCACGAATATTTCTCTCCTCATATGAGGAAGATCCCGATTTCGACGTCAATTGGTGGTTCCTTGAGCTGAGGCGAATGCTCAAGGCACTAAGTGGGTCTTGGATTTCTCTGTTATTGCAGATGGACGGCGGCCCTCAGTACGTGCCCTGTAGTACTTTTCTCGGTGACGAGCCGCCTGTGGTGGTGCGGGTCTTGGATTTTACTACTTGTAAATGTCGCATGGCGTCTTGGTACTTGGAGTTTACGAAAGGCTTGTTTCGTGTTTGTCGACCGAGGTGCGTATGGGGTGGTAGCCTCGTGAGCGAGTCGGACACGAAGTACAGGCTCTCGGAGTTTCAGTTAAACATGTTGCTTGCAAACAACGTCAGGACCGAGCCCTACTTTTGGCGGCACAGTTTGGAGCAAGTTCAGGTCGATGGTCAGCTCGTGCAGTGGACAGACCAGTCGGAATTGCGAAACAGGACGTATGACGGGAAAATATGGCTAAAGTTGAAATGGAGAGGTCAGACAAAGGCATAAGTACTACGCTCGCATGCTTTTCTATTTACTATACATCTCCCTTATTTTTAAGCTTTTCAACGTTATATATCTCTCGTATTTTTGAGCTGGTGAGTCATCTGCTATCACTTTAGGCTGCAAAACAGTATATACAATGTAACAATAAGAACAAAAATAAAGCGCAAATATAAATACTGACAAAAGACGTTTTTGTTTGCCTGGTTTTGAAAATCAATTTTAACGAGTGAAATATACAAATGGGTTTAAATATTTCAATTGATATGGATCATTTGCAACTAATGAGTTTCACATTCTGTCATGATTTTTACCAAAAAAAAAAAAAAAAAGAAAAGAAAGAAATAGTCCTAATGTCATAACCTTGCATAGCAAGTTAATCTGAGTGGAATAGTAGGCAATTTGAATATCCGTTTTTCTTTCCCTCAATTAACCAAGGCTTTGGTCTTGATATCATTGATTTGAAACTTTCCAGGTCTTGCGGTCTTGAATTGGTAATTTGAGTCTTCTTATTTTATTTTATTTTGGTTTTAATTTTGATTTCTTTTACTGAATAGAGAGAATAAAATAACACATTTCAGGATGTATTTTATTTTATAAAATATAATAAACAAAATATATTTATTGTTTTAAGTTTTTTTAATGAACTATTTTCAACGTTGAACATTTCGTGAACGACCGAAATCATTTCATTTTCATGAACAACATGTTCAATAGCCATTGGACTCCATTCCATCCATAGGCCTCCACACTTACTTCCTTTAAATCCTGCTGCCAAAAGCGGTCCTCCCTTTCTTTCGTCATGAGGAAGATCCATAAACGATCAATGAGAAAGGCATCAGCAGCCTCTTGGGAAAGACTGTTCAATATATCTCGGCCGAAAATTCTAAATATGATTTTGCGTAGCTCTATTTGTCATATTGAAAAGGTTGGTAAATTTTACAAATTTCCTATAGTTTT